CGATAATATTCCTACTGAACTAATTAAGGCATGCGGGGAAGCTGGAGTTTCTAAAATACATCGGTTGGTTCAAAAGATCTGGGTGAACGAGAAATTACCTGAAGAATGGAAAGAATCTATTCTTACTCCGATTCACAAAAAGGGTCCGAGGACGGATTGTAATAACTATCGAGGAATTCCACTCCTTCCGGTATGTTATAAAATATTCACTTCAATCATAACCTGTCGAATCACGGAATACGCCGAGGAAATTATCGGAAACTACCAATGCGGATTTAGACGGAATCGTTCGACAATCGATCAAATATTTTCTTTACGGCAAATATTAGAGAAAAAATTGGAGTATAACGCTTTGTTCACCAGCTGTATATAGATTTTAAAAAGGCTTACGATTCTATTGACCGCCAGAAACTGTATAATATTCTAATCGAGCAGGGGATTCCAAAAAAACTAGTAAATCTAGTCAGGATGTCCTTGACGGAGACACTCAATAAAGTTAGAATCGGTAACAATTTGTCCGAAAAATCTGAGGTTCGTTCGGGTTTAAAACAGGGGGATTCTCTTTCGCCTGTCCTGTTTAATTTGGCATTAGAACATGCCATTAGTTAGGTAATGGTTACCGAGAAAGGGTTGGATCTGGGCGGGACAACGTCCGTACTGGGCTATGCTGATGATCTGGTACTGTTAAGCGAAGACGTTGAAACTATAAAACTAAATACGACAACGTTAATGAAAGCCAGTAAAGAACTAGGACTCGAAATAAACGTGGATAATAATAATAATAATAAGGCTTAGCGAACCCGAAGGCTCGATGCCGACACAACCAATTGCATATTACACACCTCCCTCCACCGTTCGCCGTCCAAACCCAGTCCCTTCAGATCGGCTTTAATGCAATCTTCCCACCTTCGCTTCGGTCTACCCCTCGGACGCCTACCATTCGGCACAGCAAATATTAACCTTTTAGGAATTCTCTCGTTACTAAGCCCAACAACTTTACAAGCCCATTTGATTCGCCGCGATGAAATTACCTCAATTATATTACCCGGATACAGCTCACGCAATTCGGCGTTGTGTAACCGTCTGAACTCTCCGGTTAACTCATCCTTCTTCGGTCCGAATATTCTACGCAATACTTTATTTTCAAAAACCTTAAGACGCTGCTCATCCCTTAATGTAAGCGGCCAAGTTTCGCATCCATAAAGAACTGTAGGCAAGATAATTGTTTTATAGATTCTAATTTTTAAGTTTCGGGACAAGAGGCGCGAACTAAGTAGTTTTGTCACAGAAAAATAACAAGCATTCCCCGCCTTCAGTCTAACCTTAATCTCTTCTTCAATTTCGTTTTTTCTAGTTATCGTAGAACCTAGATACCTAAATTTATCTACCTGTTCAAACATATTACCATCTATATCGATATCACCAGTAGTATCGCCATTTTTGCAGCTAACCATATATTTTTTTTTATCCACGTTTATTTCGAGTCCTAGTTCTTTACCGGCTTTCATTAACGTTGTCGTATTTAGTTTTATAGTTTCAACGTCTTCGCTTAACAGTACCAGATCATCAGCATAGCCCAGCACGGATGTTGTCCCGCCCAGATCCAACCCTTTCTCGGTTCGCATTACCTCCCTAATGGCATGTTCTAATGCCAAATTGAACAGGACAGGCGAAAGAGAATCCCCCTGTTTTAAGCCCGAACGAACCTCAAATTTTTCGGACAAATTATTACCGATTCTAACTTTATTGAGTGTCTCCGTCAAGCACATCCTGACTAGATTTACTAGTTTTTTTGGAATCCCCTGCTCGATTAGAATATTATACAGTTTCTGGCGGTCAATAGAATCGTAAGCCTTTTTAAAATCTATATACAGCTGGTGAACAATACCGTTATACTCCAATTTTTTCTCTAATATTTGCCGTAAAGAAAATATTTGATCAATCGTCGAACGATTCCGTCTAAATCCGCATTGGTAGTCTCCGATAATTTCCTCGGCGTATTCCGTGATTCGACTGGTTAAGATTAAAGTGAATATTTTATAACATACCGGAAGGAGTGAAATTCCTCGATAGTTATTACAATCCGTCCTCGGACCCTTTTTGTGAATCGGAATAAGAATAGATTCTTTCCATTCTTCAGGTAATTTCTCGTTCACCCAGATCTTTTTAACCAACCGATGTATTTTAGAAACTCCAGCTTCCCCGCATGCCTTAATTAGTTCAGTAGGAATATTATCGATTCCCGCTGCTTTATATGATTTTAATTTTCCGGTAGCTACTTCAACTTCCTCTTTACTTGGTCCTTCTATTAACGGTTCAGCACTCTGGTACTCAGAAGGAGGACACAGATCATAATTTCTCGTATTTAAAATATTGTCAAAGTGGTCCTTAAACTTATTCAATATGTCAACCGGATCGGTCAGAATATTGTTATTATCATCCCTAATTCCAGACGTTACGGGCCCTACATATTTACGTGATCTGTTTATACCTTTGTACATGTCTCTTACGTTATTTTCGATTCTATTAGTTTCTATTTCAATTATTTTGTTTTTAAGATACTCCCTTTTTTTATTTTTGAGCAATTTTGTCGTTTCGTTCTTTGAGATTCGGAAGTATTCCAGATTGTCTTCGCTAGGATTATTTAGAACTTTTAATTTAGCGGCTTTTCTTTTTTCACACATGTTTAAGCAATCTTCATCAAACCACGGTTTGTTATTCTTATTTTAATTTTTTCCTAGACACGAGTTACCGACCGCTTTAATATTATCCCTGATCTCTATCCATAACTTGTCAATATCCTCGTGGTCCTCGTCAGGAAGCTAAAGCTTCAAACCTATTCTTAACATCTAGCTCGAATTGGTTTCTAATTGATGGATTTTTTAATTTTTCCAAATTAAAATTCTCAAAATCGAAACGGTTTTCTTTTCTCTTTTTTATATTAAGTTTTTGTCGAAGTTTCGCGATTACTAATTCATGATCCGACCCATATTCTATGATAAGACCGTACATTAATTATACTGCTTTGCCAGCTGTGTTGTATCAAGACATGATCGATTTGATTTCGTGTTTGCGAATCCGGTGATGTCCAAGTATATTTATGAATATCCTTGTGTTTAAACGTCGTACTTTTAATTATCAGGTTTTTCGAGATGGCAAAGTTTATCAGACGGATCCCATTATCATTACTATATTCGTGCAAACTTTCTTCACCAATCGTCGGAATATAAACTTCTTCCCTTCCTACCTTTGCGTTCGCATCACCTACAATTATTTTCATGTAGTTTCGCGGTAGTTTATCATAAACCCATTCGAGTTTATCGTAAAATTCACTTTTGACTTCATCGTCACTGTCTTCGGTTGGACAATGTATGTTTATTGATGCGATTTTAAACCAACGTCCCTGAAATGTAGCTACCGAAATTCTATCACTAAAGAATTGTACGTCCCTCAAAGCGGATAGTAATCTACTCTTAATTAGAAACCCGGTACCTAAACAATGATTCCCGCTTCCTTCGTACCAAATAGTGTACCTCCCTTCCCTCATCGAGCCCTCCCCTGGCCAGCGAACCTCTTGCAGAGCCACGACATCCAAATTGTACCCATTTACCTCATTCGCGACCGATTTTAGCCCCCCTGCTGTGTTTAAACTCCTTACGTTCCACGTACCAATATTTAAATCCCTATATTTCAACTTGCGGCATGAATCCCCTAAAGCAGTCCCCACCCGGAGACCCGAACGGGGGACTAGTTTACCTCCGGATAATGAGCGTTTTACCTTAGGGAGATCCATGACTTTTTGTGGTGTTTGGTGAACTAAAGATATGTGAGTAGGGCGTTCAATCCTACGTCACACCCTCCAGCTAGTCTGGTGGGCCCCTACCTCCAGCAAGTCTGGAGGTCCCCTCCCTCTAGCAAGTCTGGAGGGCCCCTCTCATTGTTGGTCAGCGAGTCCATCGGACTTAGCCGGGAGGAACTTCCAAGGAATTTCCACCGACCATCCCCACATCCGCCACCCGTGGGACGCTCCCCATACGCGGTAATGAACCCGCGCGAGGAAATAAACGTGGATAAAAGAAAATATATGGTTAGCTCCAAAAATGGCGATACTACTGGTGATATCGATATAGATGGTAATATGTTTGAACAGGTAGAGAAATTTAGGTATCTAGGTTCTACGTTAACTAGAAAAAACGAAATTGAAGAAGAAATTAAGGTTAGACTGAAGGCGGGAAATGCTTGTTATTTTTCGGTGACAAAACTACTTAGTTCGCGCCTCTTGTCCCGGAACTTAAAAATTAGAATCTATAAAACAATTATCTTGCCTACAGTTCTTTATGGATGCGAAACTTGGCCGCTTACATTAAGGGATGAGCAGCGTCTAAGGGTTTTTGAAAATAAAGTATTGCGTAGAATATTCGGACCGAAGAAGGATTAGTTAACCGGAGAGTTCAGACGGTTACACAACGCCGAATTGTGTGAGCTGTATCCGGGTAATATAATTGAGGTAATTTCATCGCGGCGAATCAAATGGGCTTGTAAAGTTGTTGGGCTTAATAACGAGAGAATTCCTAAAAGGTCAATTTGTGCGGTGCCGAATGGTAAGCGTCCGAGGGGTAGACCGAAGCGAAGGTGGGAAGATTCCATTAAAGCCGATCTGAAGGGACTGGGTTTGGACGGCGAACGGTGGAGGGAGGTGTGTAATAAGCAATTGGTTGTGTCGGCATCGAGCCTTCGGGTTCGCTAAGCCTTTTATTATTATTATTATTATTATTATTAATTAAGTGTAACCACTTTATAGGGAGGCTGAGTTTGCCCTAGGAGGGTCTCTTAGTCCCAGGGACGACCCACGGATAATGAAAAATTACTCAGCCGGATTCGAACCTGGGACCAAGGATCAAGAACTCATTGCCCAACCACTGACCTACCCCGCCGAATATCAACCAGTCCTATTTCACCAGAAATTTAATTAATTAATAAGGTTGATAAGTGAAATTTATTTATGTCGCACCAGATTTGTATATATAGTTAGGTAAATTGAAAACCTTTTGAGTTAGTTTTGATGAAGAGGCAGCGATCTTCCAGATGGTGGTAAAAAATGAAATAATTAACAATACTTTCTCATCTTGAAATAGTAAAAGACGAATATCAAAGTTTTCGTTGCGTTCTTGGTCTGAATACATATAGAAGGTAAGCACAATGATTCCTACAAAGCTGACAGCAATAATTACAGTGAGCAGGCAAGTGAGGGAATTATGGAGGATCTCGCCGGCGTCGCAGAGCTTGTTGTGGACATCGGAGAGTATGGCGACCTTCTGATCTTTGTAAGGCGAATCGGATCTCATCTTGAGTTCATTTAAAGTTTCGCAAGCTCCTTCTAACCTACTGTTTATGAGTGATGCTAAAACGGAAAACTGTGACATTGCCAACCAAATGTTTGATACGAGAATAACGCTTAGAAATATTTCGCGAATTTCATAACCGGCACGATGACTTCGGCAAAAAATGACAAGAAAGTTTAAAGAAAGTGCCAAAAAATCTGACAGACAGAAATCCAACTGCAAGTGGATGTTTAAAATGGCGTCTACTTCTTCGAGGATACCAATAATCTGACGAAGATCCCTTACTCTTCTGATCGAGGTACTTGCTGTTGTGATGTGCATGATGGCCAAGCTATTTACAAAGCATAAGAGTGTAACTTTTTCTGCTTTTTCAAGATATTCTGATCCCTTTGATTTGAATACGTATGAATATGACCAAATAAGGACAATGCTTAAACCAAATGCAATCAATCCGATCAAGATGCTGGATATTAATGATAGAACGCAGAAGAAATATGATCTCTTGTAACGTCCTCTCTGCAAGGTGAAAGGAAATAATCCAATGACCGCCGACAGAAAATATATGAGACGTAAATATTTGTGGTTTGAAAGTATTCTAGTACGTTGAATGGTTCCTGATTGTTTTGAACCCAACGTCATTTTATCAAAGAGAAGTTATATACTTGTACAGCTGTGGCTTTCCCGAAACTGAATATTTAACTGCTCGAAAGTCATTAGCGGACATCAATTTATTCCGCCTTTTAATCAGATCTAATGTCAATCTATTGCATTGTTCGGTCGTGATCCACATTCCTAATAGAATTAATATAATAGATTTAGGCGATAGCATGTCGATATTGTGATTCCTCAAGGTAGTATCCTAGGTCCTATCCTTTACACAGTATATACAGCTGACATTCCAACACTATCATCACCACATATGCTGATGGCACATGTATCCTATCAGTTAATAACGATCCATCAATTGCATACCAAACTCTTCAATCAAACATCACAAATCTTGAAGAATAGTGTTAAACTGAATAATTAAAATAAATTCCATCAAATTACCTTCACTCTTCAGCGTAAACCTATGACTTCCTGTCCTGCAGTACTGTTTAACAATTCTCCACTTATCCCTATTGAACAAATCCGATACCTAGGACCATATGGACAAACGACTCACTTGGAATTCTCATACAAGACTGAAACGACAAAAAACTGCTTTTTCGACTACTCCAGCAATTATTAGACAAACGCTCTAAACTTTCCATATATTTCAGGAGACTCATATCCATGACTATAATAAGGTCAATCTGGACGGATTTGAGGTTTGGGGCTCCACTAAACCATCGAATTCCTCTCTTATCCAATCCTTACAATCTAAAATTCTTCGCAAAATCCTCAATGCTCCTTACTTTGCCGCAAATAAAATCATTCATAACGATCTTAACGATCCATATGCTTCCAATGTAGCCCAATCCAGATACCTATCCTTCCATAACAAACTTCAAAGCCATCCGAACCCTCTCGTGTCAAACCTTGCTTCCTCTTCGATCACTGATATAACCCTTCAAGGCGTCTGAAAAGAAGAGGGCCTCGCGATCTACTTATGTAAATATGTTATTAGAGCGATACCAATGATTAGTTTCTCTACAAGCGTTTTCTTGTGACTTTATTATTACCGTGTGTCTTTTTTTTATAACTTAAAAATTTCTTAAAAAAACGAAGAACCTTTCATCGAAATCAGAGCACTAGGAATATAATTTTTGGTATATTCTTCTAAATAATGAGGACAACGAGATTCTTGACTTCCTAAACCAAAAAGTTTGTAAAAAGAGTTAACTAAAGATGATAATCTGAGAAGTATTTTCACAGTTGAAAATATATTTTCGGAAGTAATAGAAGTAATATATAATATGATATTGAAAAGCTAAATATTTTACTATAATGAATATCTAACGAATAAGGAAAAATAAGGTAGCCGGGAGTAGCGAAAAACTAATAACTTTTAATAAAATTAATTATTTCAATGATATAACTTACTAAATCTTTTCACCTCCTATTAATGCTTCAATAATTTTAAATGAAGGAAACAATCTGTATAGGCTAAAATATTTAAATTGTAAGAAACAGTGTTTAAAGGCTAAAATTACTGAACGATTTAAAGTGAGCTAAACAGTGTTTAAAGTTCACAATTTTTGAGCGATTTAAAGTGAACATAGCAGTGTTTAAAAGCTAAAATTTTTAGCGGGGAATGGGCGCCGCCATATTGTTCCGAGGACCTGTTCCAGGATCGGGTTTTTATATCTACTGATGTGCAGAGGCAATGTTGTGTTGTAAAATGGCTTGGTTTTTGTTGACCAAGGAGGGGTACTTTTCAGTCGAAACTGCATAAACTCTGCCAATAAAGGTTTGAGTTCACAGCGCGACCATCAGGAACAAGCTCAATACAAAACGCCTTTGAAGTTTCACCAAACCCAATTTATTTTTTCGTAAACCGATCTCTGCGAACATTCATTTGTGCATCTTTACCTGGCCTTACCCACTGCTTAAGTTAGCTATGTTTTATTATTTTTATATATCAAATTTTCATCACTCGTGATAATTTATTTCCAAAACAAGTCGTCTTTCAGATTTTTAAACGAAATTTGCACATTTCTACTCAGTGCTGGGCTCGAACCTGTTTTAAGTAATGTGGGACCTTAAATTTCTTAAGTCCACTTTTAATGCCTCTTATCGTTCTCCTTCCGTTTATCAGCTTATCGTGAATTTTTTCCGAAAACCAGGAATTTTTAAAACGCAGCAGGACGCGGGACAATTTGTTAGAAATTGGGACTATCCCACGTTGATAAGCGTCTTGAATGAGAACGTTTGGACTCCTTATTATAACCCAATAAATACAAAATTCATGGTTCATTTTACTTAAGATAAGTTTTCAGAGTTCCCTACAAAATCTTTATTTATTTATGATATTTACAACTGTAATAAGAAATAAAACACATAAATAGAACGATAATTAATTAGAAAAAAAAAACTACCTATATGAAATGGTGTTTAAGTAATTCTTGAAGTCCTACAAAATGTAATTACACGAACAATAATAACTATAAGAGATAGTTTTTTATATTTTTTTCTATAAAACATGGTTATACTTCACCGTTTCGGGGAGGGGGCTTCAGCCCGAAAGCCTCCCCCATAAATCTGCCTGTGATCAATTGCATAAACTGTGTAAAGGGTAGGACCTTCTATACCGCTTTCAGGAACACCAGCGGACAGGAAAATGAGGGATGAATAAACATTATTGTGATTTACATTGAAGTATGTAGGATGTAGCAATTTACGGAATTTGTATAGTAGTGTGTAGGCTGCCAGACTCGATCAAATTCCTATTCTACATCGGGAAAGACTCTCGTGCAGAGGAGACAACATCCATCACTTGGCATTGCTGGATAGTGGAATGGGGTCTGCGGAAACCAAACTGGTTATCCAGGATTATGTGATTATAATCTAGAATTGGGTACAGGCGTTTTAGGATGAATTTTCTTAGGACTTTGCCTATGATGAGTAAAAGAGGGATAGAAGGGTGAGAGGATGGGTATTCTGGTGGCTTTTTGGGTTTATGTATAATTTTGATAATGGATAGTTTCCAAGGGTCAGGAAAAGATGTGGATCGTATATATAAATAAGTACAAAATAAAGTAAGTAAGCAAAGTAAGTATATATATGAGTAAAGAATAGAATAGCTTTCCGATGAAGTAATTTTAGGATCTGGGATGTAATTAGGTTGTGTCCAGGAGCTTTGCGAGAAGGTAACCATTGAATATTGTTGGATATTCCTAGGAAATGAGAAAAAAAAAGAAGATACAGCCGAATGTAGTTGTGTCCAAACGTTTTGGTCTTCTGTTGTGAATGAATGATAATCGAAAAAGAGAAAGATAATTATTTTCTCCGTAGTCCCCTTTGAAAAGAAATTTAGCAAGATTGGTAAATGAGATTCATGTGATGTTCACCGCACCAGATTTTTGATTATAGTTAGGTAATTTGACAACCTTTTGAGCTAGTACTGATGAAGAGACAGCAATTTTCCAGGTGATGGTCCAAAAGGACAGAAACCACAATGTCCTGTCATCTGATAAAAGTATTTGATGGATGTCAAAGTTTTTGATCTGTTTATTGATTGAATACATATAGAAGATAAGCACAGTGATTCCTACAAAGCACACAGCGACCAATACGGTGAGCAGGCAAGAGAAGGCAGTATGGAGGATCTCGCCGGCGTCGCAGAGCTTGTTGTGGACATCGGAGAGTATGGCGACCTTCTAATCTTTGTAAGGCGAATCGGATCTCATCTTGAGTTCGTCCAAGGACTCGCAAGCTGTTTCTAGCCTGCGGTTTATGAGAGAAGCCAAAATTGAAAACTGAGCTATTGCCAACCATAGGTTTATCGAGAGAACAGAGAAATACAAGGGATAGATGATACCCTCAGCAGTATACCAGCGCCAGAAAACGACAAGAAAGTTTAAAGAAGAAGCCAAAATATCCGATAGTCCGAAATCCATCTTCAAGCGGGTATTCATAAGGGCATCTACTTCTTCCAGGATACTGATAATCTGACTAACAGCCTTGGCTCTCCAGATCGAGGTGCTTGCTGTTGTGATGTGCATGATGGACAAGCTGTTTATAAAGCATAAGAGTAAAACCATATCTGCTTTTTGAAGAAATGTTATCCACATCGACTTCACGGAAATAAAGGAACGATTTAAGCTAATTGCAATAAATCCGACCAAAAAGCAGCCTATTACTGAAAGAAGACCAAAGAAATATGATCTCCTGTAGCGACCTCTATGCAGGACGAAAGGGAACACCCCGAAGACTGCAGAGAGGGAATATATAAAACGGAAATATTTGTGGTTTGAAAGTACTTCAGCATGGTTATTTTTTCGTTCTGAGCTAAACTGGAACACCATTTTATTAATATATCCGGATTCAATTCTATCTGTTGCTAAACTGAATATTTTACTGTTCGAAAGTATTAGCGAACACCAATTTAATCCACATTACTTCAGATTTCTAATCAGATCGAATGTCAACCCATCCCATATGTCAATCCAAGGTACTTTCCTAATTGAATTGACATAAAAGGTTTTGACTGAAGATGTTCAGGCGATCGGAATCGAGGTGTTTCATTAATATGTTTCTTAATATTAATATGTTACAACGTGATAAGATAGACATCGCTTTATACTAATAGAAATAGCTTGAAATGTGACGTTAAAATGTACTTTAATAAAATAAATGGAATTAAGGCATATTGCAAATGTTCTAATAACTTCATTTTCTATATGGATCATTATTCCATTATGGTATAGTCTGCCAGCAACACTTTCACTTACCTATATATGAAATACATAGTGAGGGAAAGTATTGCAATCTTGCAAATTTTCTGATCTGAGCTTTCAACGGAATTACCCCCACAAAATGGTCTATGTGTATGTGAACAGTCTAGCATAAAATAGCTATAATATAAAAAGTATAAAGGTATATAAGGTATAATATATAAGGTATATGCCTTGGATGTTTCAGCAACATTTTTGTTAAAATCGATTAACCGGATTGCCACTTTATATCAACGGTGAAACCCATTTTTACAATTTTCTCACAAATGGCTCCCGCGATTTTGATTAAACTCAGTGTATCATTGTATAATTAAGTGGTCTTTAATATCATTTAGGTCTTATCCCCATTGATGTGACATTTTACAGGGCTTTAATGCCCAATGTTCATATACGTCTTACTCCAAAGTACCTTTAATATGGTTTATATTAAAAACATTTTTTTTATTGTGTCTTAATGATATTTACAACTGTTTTAAAGATATACATTTAGTAAAATTGAACATATGGATATGACGTGAGACCACTTGTTGAGTAACTAACCAATGGTAGCAACTATAATGATCTATCAATATTAGAAGATCACAGGGCCATCTTCTTTTCAGACGCCTCAGAGGGTTATCTAGAACTGAAGAGGAAGCAAAGTTAGAAACGAGAGGTTTGGGATGATTCTGATGTTATTAAAAAAATAATCTATTTTATTGACCGTAACTATAAAAAATGGCTACATATGAAGTTTGAAAGAATATGATAGTTGGAAACTTGAGAAAAAATAAAGAAAAATGTTTATCCAAGTTGAAAATGAATTTACGGAAATAACCGACAGAAAGTATACTAATAATGTATCGTTGGAAAGCGGAGAATTTTAGAAAAAATAAAATTAAATAAATAAAGTTGTAGAAGGCAATGGAGAATTACTACAATTAACCTAAGATTGTGTGGATGCGAATCATTTGCCTTGCATTATTCCGAAAAAGTACGATTTTCAGCTTAACAACTCTGGGCCTTATAGTTCTAAAGGAGCTATCCGGGTCTTGGTGTACTCATCAAAATCTTCATAGCCCAGTTTGTCCTTATCGATCTACAGACTTACCACCGTTTCAGTATTGTAGCCTAGCAAACTGTTTATATCGACTTTATTTATTTTAGAAAAAAAAAAACGGAGATTACGATTCCCTAACCCCCCGTGAAATTCTGAATCCAACGGTACCCCATTCATGGTATTTGAGCATGACAGGATCTTATATTTGGTAAAAAACCGATTTCGAGCCTTACTAAAAGAAAATATGTGGGGATACGTGATGTTTAGTTATTCTACAAAACCATATTTTAATTTTGGTCTCAAGGCTGTGGATAATCTAAACATTGTATTTTATTCTTTGAGCGCCACTTATTAGTTAAAGATTTCTTTTGAGATCTGTGATGACTTCTAGCCAGTATTTGATTGTTTAAATTACAAATATTTCAAAGTAATTTGTACATTTCATTCAATTATGGTGACCCCGACGTGATAGGAGAGAAGAAGCAAAGTAGAAGTCTTCTTTGTTTTCGATTAGTGTTGTTGATAAAATTCACTAGTTATAATTACGTATTATTGATAATACTTTTGTGATTGTTTGTGGCAGGTCACTCTACAAACTTGATGGCATTAGTTGAATTCTGTAATTGATAATAATAAAAATAACATTTTAATTTGTTTAAATGTATATTTTATGGCTAGTAAGAACTCCAGAAGGATGGATAATTAATATAAACATATAGAACAGTGGATGCAACGGATTAGGCTATTAATAAGTTCAGAAATATAAGTAAACACTGGCGGCCGCTTAATAGCTAGGTAATTGGTACAAACTAAATTATAATGTTAAATTATAAATCTGTATCAATACAACCCATGAGGGTCTTGGGTTCAGTACTATTTAGGGAAAGCACCGTTACAAAGCCAAAGGTTGTGTAAGGAAGGGATCGGGCCAGGATCACGCTCAACCGCCAAGTTTTCCCCCTTAATCAGTTATTTAATTAAGGATACCCACTTTGTAGAGGCTGGGTGTGTCCTAGGAGGGTCTCCCTACTTTAGGGTTGCCACACGGTCAATGAAACAGAATAAATAAATTTTCAGCCATAAGCTGGGATTCGAACCCGGGACTTTGAGCATTGGAAGCTTAGTGCCCAACCACTGAGCTACCCTGCTCCCTTATGTTAAATTATAAAACATGCTTTAATTATAAACTGAATCACTTAATATTTTATAACCTTTCAAGTTGTAAAATAGGATTTGTATAAAATCTGAATGCCAAAAAAACATCTTTTAAGCCTAGTCCACACTAGTAGACATGTTCGATTTTGGTCTCCGAGAGATGTATAAGTTTTTCTACATAGACATGTCTATAAACTTCCCATCTCTGTCTACAGGCCTGTTGCGAGACCAAAAATCGTAGGTCTAAAGTCTCCCGATCTGAATGGGAGACCTTATGCAACATTAGACATGTTGCACAATATTTTGACAGTTTGGACTTCTCTCCTCGTCTAGAGGCAAGATAGTTCCCAGTCTGCGTCCAGCTACCGAATGGTTGGTCCGGCTGTTTACAGTTAATCGTTAAAGTTATACAGTTCTTTTGAAAATTGGTGGTTTTAAAACGATTTGAAGATTATCGTAGCGTCTTTCAGTCTTAATTTATTTAATAATGCGTTGTCAAACCTAGGTCAATATGCGAGCACTTTGCGCATCCACCAACGTTTATGTTTGCGCGTTCATTCACTTGTAATCAGTACTAAGCATCCACACAAAACGATGTCCTCCATGGTGGACTGATAAGACAAGACAAAGAACTAGGGCCAAATCGTGCACAAATTCAATATGGGACACTACAAATTTAAGATTTGTATCGATCTATACGGGATCAGGTTAGGGATGGCGGTCGTTTGAAAATAACTGGTTAGTGTTGGTTACTCCTTTATTTTACCTTGTTTTATCAGACGGAATTGGAAGTTAAAAAAGTTGCTACTTACTCCGTTAATCGTATTATTAGACAAATAATCAATATCAGATTTTTATTTATAGTTAAGTAATTTGACAACCTTTTGAGTTAGTTCTGATGAAGAGGCAGCGATTTTCCAAGTGATGGTGAAGAAGCAAATAATCCACAATACCTTGTCATCTTCGAAGAGTAGAAGACGAATGTCAAAGTATTTGATTATTCGTTGGACCCCATACATGTAAAAAGTAAGTGCAATGATTCCTAAACAGCACACAGCGACTAATACAGTGAGCAGCCAAGCGAAGGCAGTATGGAGGATCTCGCCGGCGTCGCAGAGCTTGTTGTGGACATCGGAGAGTATGGCGACCTTCTGATCTTTGTAAGGCGAATCGGATCTCATCTTGAGTTCGTTCAAGGACTCGCAAGCTGCTTCTAACCTGCTGTTTATGAGAGAGGACAGAACTGAAAATTGTGCGATTACTAACCATAAGTTTATGGACAGAACGGAAAGATACAATGGCCAGACGATGTTACCCTGAGAGTTACAGCATCGCCAAACAACGACGAAAAAGTTCAAACAAGAGGCTACAAGATCCGATAAACCGAAATCCATCTTTGAGCAGTTGTTTAAACTGGCGTCTACTTCATCGAGAATATCGATGATCTCCCTCACTGCTCTGCCCCTCCAGATCGAAGTACTCGCTGCTGTGATGTGCATCATGGACAAACTGTTTATAAAGCATAACAGCATAATTAGTTCCGCTTTTGCAAGAAACTCTTGTCCTGTTGTCTCCTCGAAGAGTGATAATGACGAAATAAACCAATAGTTTAAACCAATTGCGATAAATCCGATTGACAATGTGGTTGTTACTGATTGGATACCAAAGAGATGTGATCTCCTGTAACGACCTCTATGCAGGATAAAAGGAAACACTCCAAATACTGCAGAGAGGTAATATATAAAACGGAAATATTTGTGGCTTGAAAGTACTTCTTTTGCTAAACTGAATATTTTCCGGGTCGAAAGCCAATAGCGAACATCAATCTATTCTACATTATTACAAAGTTCTAATCAGATCAAACGTCAATCCATTGCTTTTGTCAATCATGAGTCACCTTCCTAATTGAATCAATCTAAAAGGTCTTGATTGATACAGTTTAGCCCTCTTATCTTTCATCTCTATATTTATATCTCAATATAAAAATGAAAAATAAAATAAATAAATAAAATGCTCTGCTACAACCCATTAAATGTTTAGGGCTTGATAATACTCATTGTAGTGTCAAACATCTTGTCAATGTTCGAGCCAGAGATGTTTTTTTGACCGTGGTGCGTAATTCAAAAATATTATTATAAAATATAATATTTTATGCCCTATTTTATTAGAATTTGTAGTGTCTCAAGCTGCCGGAATACAACAAACTAGAGATGGAAAATTCGAATATTTTAACTGTACCGATTCGAAACGATTTAATTAGAGAGGTGATCGATTCTTAAAAACAATTCTTCGATGGATTATTTTCACTTTTTCTTTTAATTAAAAATGAACTTTTTATTGAAAAAAAATGCCATTATTGGGCTTGTCAGACTAAGAATCTTGATTTCACCAATGCTGCACCAAGGATTGTTTAATTGGCAAATGTGGATTATGAAAAGCAATGCTGACGTATTCTACAACTTGCCACCAGTGTCTAGGGAAATGCCTCAACAGAGTGCCAGTTGCCGATTACGTCGATCAAGAAGACGTAGTACCCATTAAGCAAGAACCACCCTTTACTGAGGGTAGAGGTACCATGGAGGAACAATCCTTGACTGGACCCTCACGTCCAAAGAGGATGAAAACGTGAATCCATAGAAATTTGTGAGTGTAATGTCAAGAAATTATCGAGAACAGTAATAAAATGACGTTTTAAAGTGCATGTATTTAATGTGACAAAATAGAATACAATTATCGTGAGTTTTTTTTATTATCTGTAAAATACAAGATTAAATTTTTCAAGTAATATGATTTTTTCTACTTTATTTACTAATTGGATTCAAAGTATGGATGGCCACACATTTATTTAGCCAAAACTTAAGGTAATACTGATTTTTGAGTCCCTCACGAGGTCGCGTTAAGATAAAGTTTTGAATAGTAGTTAATTACAAAGAAGATGAAATAATATCACTAATATATAACGCCAGCAACAATTACTTTTTCCAGTGGGTGCCGGGACACGTAGGAATATCAGGAAATAAAATGGCAGACAAAACGGCAATTCAAAACCAACTATACCGAATAAATGCGAAGGTCCCTTTACTGGATTTGATAAGAGTAGTGAGGGAGAAATAATGAAAGACTGGAAGCATTTGAACGACTGGGAATGTGTCACGAAGGGTAAGGACCATCATACAGTTCAACAGAAGATAGCTCTGGTTCCATGGTTTGCGACTCTTAAATCTCATCTCGACCGCTCCAGCTTAGTAAAGCTGACCAGGCTTAGGATGAATCGCGGTAGAACTAATAAATATCTCATCTAATGGGTATAGCTAAGAGTGGTCACTGCCGAACACGCCAATGCTTGGAGGGTCCAAGACACATTGCCTTCAAGTGTAAAAGGTTCGAGAAGCGAAGAAGAATTAGTTCAGGATCGCAAACTACGGATGATGGAGCTAATTTTCTTCGGTCGATGAACAAAGATAACGCCCGTGACTTGATAAAGTTTTTGAATGACATAAAAGCAGTTATATAATAAAAGTCGCCTCTTATTCTCATTTAATTTTAATTCTAATTCACCTCAATTTTTAACTATTAGTCTTTCTAGTATAAGTTCCATATAAGTTACATTCAATATTTAGTTACATTCAGTGATCATCTATCTATAAATAATTAATAAATATCCAGTGTAATTTCATCTTACTATGACAATTAAAATATTTTATTGGCAAAATAGGACTTGCTTGTTTTTGTCTTAAAGCCAAAAAAAAAAAGAACAAAAAAGAGGATGAAATGATTATCATTTCTCTCACTGGGAATATGCAGGTCCGATTTCTAATATTTGAGATATTTTAATCCATATGCAAAAACACTTCAATTAGTTGATATACGTCGCACCAGATTTTTATATATAGTTAGGTAATGTGACAACCTTTTTACTTAATTCTGATGAAGCTGAAGCAATTTTCCAGGTGATGGTAAAAAAGGAAAGAACCCACAATACTGTCTCGTCTTGGAACAGTAGGAGAATGTCAAAGTTTTCATTCCGTTTTAGGACTCCATATGTGTAGAAAGTGAATACAGTGATTCCTACAAAGCACACAGCGACCAATACAGTTAGCAGCCAAGCGAAGGCAGTATGGAGGATCTCGATGGCATCACAGAGCTTGTTGTGGACATCAGAAAGTATGACGACTTTGTGACCTTTGTAAGGCGAATCGGATCTCATCTTTAGTTCATCCAAGGACTCGCAAGCTCCTTCTAACCTGCTGTTTATGAGAGAGGCCAAAACTGAAAACTGAGCTATTGCCAACCATAGGTTTGTTACAAGAATAACGGTAAGCACTGCATAGATGATATATTGGGTATTATAACATCGCCAAACAAGGACAAGGAAGTTTAAACAAGTGACTACGATTTCTGATAGATCAAAATCCATTTTGGTATGGATGTTTAAAAAGGCGTCTACTTCCTCCAGAATAACAATAATCCGTCGAAGAGCCCTGACTCTCCAGATCGAGGTGCTTGCTGTTGTGATGTGCATGATGGACAAGCTGTTTATAAAGCATAAGAGTAAAACTTCTTCCGCTTTTTCTAGAAATTTTAACACCGTTATTTGTGAGTAAGACGAAATAAGGATAGTGTTAAATCTAACTGAAAGAAATACGACGAAGAGTGTGGCTATTACTGATTGAACACCGAAGACATATGATCTCTTGTAGCGACCTCTTTGCAAGGTGAATGGGAACACTCCGAAGACACCCGACAGGAAATATATAAAACGGAAATATTTATGGTTTAAAAGTATTTCAGTGTGCTCAGATTTTCCTGATCGTTTCCTGATCGATCCAATCTCCATTTTACTGAAGCAATATTACCTACTGGTGCAGCTGTCTCTGCTCTGAAACTGAATATTTTAAGGGTCGAAAGTCATTAGCAAACATCAATTTAATCCGTATAGATAATCAGATCTAATGTCAATCCATCGCATTCTTCGGTCGTGAGCTACGTTCCTAATGGAATTAACATAAAATGTTTAGGCGATAGCTCTCCAAGGCTTTCATATCAATATAGGGGGTGTGTCAAGCTATCTTTTTTGAAATGAGCGTTCTGAACTATAAGGGAGCCTCAGGTGGGTGGGCCTAGTCCCGTGTAAATAAATATGGTTTTTTTAAAATATTTTTTTATGTTTGTATTAATATGTTTTTTTTATGTTTTTTTATGTATATGTTTTTTTAAATGTTTTTTTAATGTTTTTTTTTTTTTCACCAAGACATATCCTATGAGGCGAAACAGGTCTTAGCATTAAGGTTATCTCTCGACCTCCTTCTGCGTGAAGACATGATAGAATATACGTTCAAGAAAAAAGGCTCAGCAAATCTGCCGAGAAACCTTAAGGTAAGAATGGAAACGGAAGGACACAATGGAAGAATAGAACCGGCGGTGGGCGATAACCCGAAAAGGACATACCTTGAGAAAATACTTCCCTACCATCCGGTTAAGTTTAGAAGAAAAGTGAGTCCTTCCGGACAACTGGCTCTCGCGATTTCACACAGTCTACGGGTGCTATCGAGCAAAGCTTCATTTCCATTGGATGGACATCGACCCTTATGTCCTATCTACGGTGTTATTAAGACTGCTGAGCACATCATAATCGACCGCACTATCTTTGAAAAACTAAAAATCACACAAAACGATTTCCCTCAGTTAGTCATTGCAGAAAACTACTCGTATTACAAAGATTGTGTGTACGGGTGGAAAGCCACTGGGGGTCCAGTCCATTTCAATCTAAGAAGAGGAGGGGCTACAGGACTATTGGTATGAAAAATATAGGAAAATCACTCAAGAAAACCAAGAAAGAACAGATGATCAAGTTTTTCTTACTGTAGTGAGATGTTAAGCTGACCAACCTAACAACTACTACTGCAGACACCCGTATTGCCTAAAAGGCAAGGCAGGATTTAACATTAAATAATTAAAACATATATACAATAAGTGAATGTGCTAAAACATGATAAAAACTAGTAAAGAATCCTACCTATTGGTAGCACTTCAAAGATTAAATTAATTTAGGATGTCCCTTTTCCTTCTTTTTTTCATACGCTTCGGAGGGTTATTATGAATTGTTTTGGATGAAAGGTTATGAACTAAAAGGTACCAAAGAGTTTGGAATTAAAAGTGGAGTATCTAATTCGGGCCAAGTTTTTAAGAAGAGTAAATTTGAAATCTTTATGAATAATTTCATTTGTGACATAACTAGGAGCATTAAGGATTTTACTGATGATTTTGGATTGTTAGAATTGGGTTAGCAAAGAATTCTATGGTTTTGTGGAGCATATGTACAAATGGGCCTGATTATGATGGTGTGTATAAGTTATTTTTTTGTCGAATACTGGAAGTTTAGAGCGTTTGTCAAGTAAGTGTTGTAGTAGTCGGAATGCATGCGTAGTTTCTTATCATTTCAGTCTAGCATGAAGATTCTAAGTAAGGCGTTTGTCAAGAAGGTGTCCTAGGTAACGAATCTGTAGAACAGAGATCAATGGAGTATTGTCAAAGTATGAAGGAAAGGATGTAGTAGGTTTACGACGAAGGGTAAAGTTCCTTGTTGGTATTTATTCGGATTAATTTAAATGTTCCAGTTATGTCACCATTCTTCAATATCTGAAATGTGTGACTCCAGTGATTGAGATTCAGCAATTAGTTTATTATTGGCTGATAGCATACATGTACCATCTGCAGAGGATGTAAGGAGTTTAGAAGGATGGTTTTGGATAAAGCTGTATAAATTGTGTAAAATATGAGATTAAAATTCTATCTTGAGAAAAACTATCAGGGTAAAAAAAGAGAGATCAATACGCAGAGTTATAATTAACTTTGAAGGTTTTATCTGTGAATTAGGAATGGATTAATAGGAAATATGTAGTGGGCAGAGATTGACGGAGTTTGTATAGCCAACCTGCATGGTAGACTCCATCAAAAGTCTGCACAAACGTAATGTAAATTAATGTATTTTCAGAAGAGTTTAAGGTTTCGTTCGTGTGTGGAAGGTTCCCGAATACTTCATTATAGACACTAACAACCCACTTATATTTTTATGTTGATATATATTATTTTCCGTCCCATAGGAAGGATAGAGTTATTTGAGTAGTGAGTTTCTTGGCTTTTAAAAAACTAAAATATTTTTTCTTCCTTCCTTCCACCGTTATTGGTTTCGCATCTTAGACTCAGCATGTAGCCATTTTAAATAAAACAAACTAATTTCAAATATCTTAAACTTACTAAAAGAAATTTAAGCATAATAACATTCAGCCAGTATGTTTTGTAGAAATTGTTTCAAAACAATTATGGGTAACGAGGAACTAAGTGTTAGTTTCGGCATAAAGTACCTAAAGATGGCTATAATTTAATAACTTTAACCACGATAGTAGATTTACAGTTTATTATTAACCCATATCACTTACAATCCATGGGGTCCATGGAGGAAGTACTGTTACAAGACCAATGGCTGTGCAAGGAAGTGACGGGCCAATATCACGCTCAACCGCCAAGTTTGGAGGGGGCGGGGTGGCTGAATAGGCTAAAGCGTGTAACAAGTGTGACAAGCGTGTAACAGCACCGCTAGTTGCCTGGCAACCGGATAACAGAGATTTGAGATTTGATGATATAAAAAGTACAAGTTCGCGTCCCGGTGCCGAAGAGGATTTTAAATTCCCCGCCCTCACCCCTCGGCCCGGGAAAATCCCGTATAGCCTAAAAGGTGAGGTAGGGAAGAACAAAAAAAAAAAAAAAAAAAAAAAACGCCAAGTTTTCTCCCTTAATTAATTATTTAATTAAGAGTAACCACTTTATAGAGGCTGAGTTTGCCCTAGGAGGGTCTCTTGGTCCCAGGGACGATCCACGGATAATGAAAAATTACTCAGTCGGATTCGAACCTAAGACCAAGGATCAAGAACTCATTGGCCAACCAATGTGCTATCCCGCTAAATATTAACCAGTCCTATTTTATCAGAAATTTAATTATTTAATAAGGTTGATAAGTGAAATTGATTTATGTCGCACCAGATTTGTATATATAGTTAGTTAGTTTGAAAACCTTTTGAGTTAGTGCTGATGAAGAGGCAGAGATCTTCCAGATGGTGGTAAAAAAGGAAATAATCCACAACACTTTGTCATCTTTGAATAGCAGAAGACGAATATCAAAGTTTTCGTTGCGTTCTTGGGCTGAATACAGATGGAAGGTAAGCACAGTGATTCCTACAAAGCAGACAGCAATAATTACAGTGAGCAGGCAAGTGAGGGAATTATGGAGGATCTCGCCGGCGTCGCAGAGCTGGTTGTGGACATCGGAGAGTATGGCGACCTTCTGATCTTTGTAAGGCGAATCGGATCTCATCTTGAGTTCATTTAAAATTTCGCAAGCTCCTTCTAACCTACTGTTTATGAGTGATGATAAACGGAAAACTGTGACATTGCCAACCAAATGTTTGATACGAGAAAAACGCTAAGTATTTGCCAATTTATAACCGGCACGATGACTTCGGCAAAAAATGACAAGAAAGTTTAAAGAAAGTGCCAAAAAATCTGACAGACGGAAATCTAACTGCAAGTGGATGTTTAAAATGACGTCCACTTCTTCGAGGATACCAATAATCTGACGAAGATCCCTTACTCGTCTGATCGAGGTACATGCTGTTGTGATGTGCATGATGGCCAAGCTATTTACAAAGCATAAGAGTGAAACTTTTTCAGCTTTTTCAAGATATTCTGACCCCTTTGATGTGAGTACGTATGAGTATGACAAAATAAGGAGAAAGCTTAAACCAAATGCAATCAATCCGACCAAGATGCTGGATATTAATGATAGAACGCAGAAGAAATATGATCTCTTGTAACGTCCTCTCTGCAAACTGTAAGGAAATAATCCCATGACCGCCGACAGAAAATATATGAGACGGAAATATTTGTGGTTTGAAAGTATTCTAGTACGTTGAATGGTTCCTGATTGTTTTGAACCGAACGCCATTTTATCAAAGAGAAGTTATATACTTGTACAGCTGTGGCTTTCCCGAAACTGAATATTTAACTGCTCCAAAGTCATTAGCGGACATCAATTTATTCCGCCTTTTAATCAGATCTAATGTCAATCCATCGCATTGTTCGGTCGTGATCCACATTCCTAATGGAATTAATATAATAAATTCAGGCGATAGCACACGAAGACTTTGATATAATATACGGAGTGTGGAAAAAAAATTGTTTCCTTTCAAGATGGCGGCCGAAAATCTTGCTATAGACTGTAGCACCTAAACGAATGTACCGATTGCAATGAAAGTTGGCTAAAGTCTTCTCCTCGACGCCCTTTAATCCCCCCCTGAATCTGGAAAAAAAGTTGCGAGGGGTGGTAAATTAATATTCCGAATCAATCAAAAAGTGTATCCTGCGATTCCTCAAGGTAGTATCCTAGGTCCTATCCTTTACACAGTATATACAGCTGACATTCCAACACTATCATCACCACATATGCTGATGGCACATATATCCAGTCAGTTAATAACGATCCATCAATTGCATACCAAACTCTTCAATCAAACATCACAAACCTTGAATAATGGTGTCATAACTGAAGAATTAAAATAAATCCCATCAAATTACCTTCACTCTTCGACATAAACCTATGACTTTCTGTCCTACAGTATCCTTTATTGGCCGATACCTATGACCATCTGGACAAACGACTCACTTGGAATTCTTATACAAGACTGAAACGACAAAAAACTGCTTTTTCGACTACTCCAGCAATTACTAGACAAACGCTCTAAACTTTCCATATATTTCAGGAGACTCATATCCATGATTATAATAAGGTCAATCTGGACGGAGTTGAACTATGGGATTCCACTAAACCATCGAACTCCTTTCGTATCCAATCCTTATAATCCAAAATCCTTCGTAAAATAAAATCGCTCCTTACTTTGTCACAAATAAAATCATTCATAACGACCTTAACGTGCTATATGTTCCCGATATAGCCCAATCCAGATATTATTGCATCTTAAAAACCAGGTATCTTTGCAATATGGTTTCTTCCCTGAAAATGTAGATATTTATACATAGATAAACATATTAACGGAAAAAATATCAATTTTTTTTGTACCGATATACACTGACAGGCGAAAAATTCCACCCACTTGATTTTTTCATGTTTTCATCTAAAAATATTTATGTAAATTTGTATTTGTATATAATACATGGTATTTGTAGATAATAATTAGTATTTATGGAATTTTATAATATTTTTTACCTTTAATAATCAAAATGTGATTGGGTAAGAAATATTAGAAAAAAAATTGTAAAAACGAATCATTATTATTCAAAAAGAAATTAATTACATCATCGTTTAGTATCACGTGTTTCCTCTTCTTGCCTTCACTACTTCTTGAAGACGCCACGGCATACTTTCCGCCAGTCGGGAAATGTTTCTTTGTCGGAGGATAGCACAAGCCCTTTCAAGGTCCTGCAGTGTATCAGGAAGTGTTGCACGCGCTCTTATTCGTCTTCCGAGGTTATCCCATAAATGCTCAATGGGGTTCAAATCTGGACAATGTGCTGGCCAGGCTAAAACCTCAATATTGTTCTGTTGAAGGAACGTCTGCACTATGCGGGCGACATGTGGGCGTGCATTAGAATAGAACGATCGCCGATTTCGTTGAGGATAGGCAACACATGAGGTTCCAAAAATCTCATCAACATAGCGAATGGCCGTCAAAGACCCTTCACGAACAATAACCAATTTTGTGCGGCGCTCCATTGAAATCCCAGCCCACACCATTAAGGAATCACGTTGGAAAGGTTGGCTCTGGGAAAAATTACAGGCTGCATATCTTTTGTTTCTTCTTCTCCACACCCTTCACGCCCGTCTTGATATCGAAGAGCGAATCTTGACTCATCTGTAAAAAGTACAGCACTCCATTCGTCCATAGTCCAATGGCTGTGTTCTCGAGCAAAAGCCAGCCGTGTTACTCTATGAGTTCTGGCCAATTCTGGTCCTCTTACTGGACGAAAAGCCATTATTCCATACTCATTTTATTTTCTCTGAGCGGCACGTGGTTCTGTTACCGTAGGCCGTCCAGAACCGGGCCTTCTATTGTAAGAACCAGTTTCCCGAAAACGCCTTGACGGCGTCTCGTAACGTTTCATATGGAACTCCGATGGCATTAGCTGCATATCTAATGGAACGTCTATCATCAATAAGTGCCACACCACGCGCAACATCCTCAGCACTAAGAGGCATTTTTAAACTCAATATTGAAAAAATTAAAAGCCGGAGACTAAGAAATGTGCTGCAAGAAACGGTATTGCACTAATGATACTGAATAAACATTTTGATTCCATTGAATGTAAACATTGGAATCTAGAATCATTTCATTGAATTAAGGATTAAGGGTTATTATCCTCTATATTAACATTCCTTGAATTGAAAACAAACAAAAATATTACCTATTTATTCATTAAAAACAATAGACCAATCCAAAGCAGAAATATTTAGATGAAAACATGAAAAAATCAAGTGGGTGAAATTTTTTGCCTGTCAGTGTATATTGTCCATCAACAGTAACATACAAGTGTGTAAACATCTGTATTATTCTTAAATAAAGTTTGAAGAATTTGACAACCTTTAGGTTAAGTTTCGATGAAGATGCAGCGATTTTCCAGATGATGAAGAAGAAATACAAAATCCACAATCCTTTCTCATCTTGTAACAGCAGAAGACGAATGTCAAAGTTTCCGTTCCGTTTTTGGACTGTATAAATGTAGAAAGTGAGCACAGTGCTTCCTACAAAGCAGACAGCGATCAATATAGTTAGTACCCAAGTGAATGCAGTATGGAGGGTCTCGCCGGCATCGCAGAGCTTGTTGTGGACATCGGAGAGTATGGCGACCTTCTGATCTTTGTAAGGCGAATCGGATCTCATCTTGAGTTCGTCCAAGGACTCGCAAGCTTCTTCTAATCTGCTGTTTATGAGAGATGCTAAAACGGAAAACTGTGACATTGCCAACCAAAAGTTCGTAATGAGCATAAAGCTAAACAATGTGTGGAAGACATCCTGAGCATTGTAAAATCGCCAAATAACTACAAGAATGTTTAAAAAAGAGGCTAGAATATACGATAGACCAAATTCTATCGGCAAGTAGATGTTCAAACTGGCGTCTACTTCTTCGAGGATGCCAACAATCCGACGAACTGCCCTGACTCTCGAAGTCGAGGTGCTTGCTGTTGTGATGTGCATCATGGACAAGCTAGTTATAAAGCATACGAGTGAAACTAGTTCCGCTTTTTCAAGAAAAGTATTTGCCTTCGGTTTGACGAAAATAAAGAAACAATATGCACCAACAGCATTTAATACCACCAAGATGCAGACTATTACTGATAGAACTCCAAAGAAATATGATCTCCTGTAACGACCTCTATGCAGTATGAAAGGAAACACCCCGAAGACAGCTGAGAGGGAATATATAAAACGGAAATATTTGTGGTTTGAAAGTATTTCTGAGTGCTGAATTATTCTTGATGGTTCTGGGCCGATCGCCATTTTATTAAAGAAAGGTTACCTGCTGACACGGTTATATCTGTTACGAAACTAAATATTTTACCTGTCGAAATTCAGTAGCGAATATAAATCCAATCCACATTATTATAAATATCTAATCAGATCTAATGTCAATATTTTGCTTGTGTCGATCCTCTAGCATATTGCAAATTGAATTAATGTAAAAGGTTTCGATGCAATTTATGAGATAGCATTCGAGTAGTTTCTTTTGAATATTCTCATGTTGGGGTGTCTGTTGGTTGGATCTGTCCCTTTACTCCTAAGTCTATCATTGTTGATGGTAATACACTGTAACATGTTCGGGGTCCATTAGTAAATAACCCGATTTGGTGGGCAATTATAAATAGCCTTCCGTTTATTCGGGGGACTAGGTCATTAGCACTAGTGATTTAATTCTCTTTAAACAAAACCCCGAAACTGGATATAGACTTTTTTTGGATATATATATATATATATTCTTTTTTCATATACATATGATATGTGGGACTTATTAAATACACTTGAATGAATTGACTCATCTGGTTTGTTATTCTTCAATTGTGAGGCTTATAGGACAACTAAATAAAAGGACTATTCACTCCTGTCTAACAAAACAATTTATTTTTACAACTGTAATAAGTGAGTCTATTAAAGTCTTATAACTTTAGGCTTGACTTTCTTAATCTTCAATGAAGTGCCTCTCTCTTCTGATAACCTCTTTTCTTTCTGTCTCGGTCTAGAGTGGCTTCTTTACTCTCCAGATTCCTTCTCCAGCTGCTGCTACATTTTTCAAGCTTCTTCCTTCTTCGATTCTTTATCGATATCAAACTTTTCAATAAACAATTTGTTTACAGCATAATTGAGTACAATTCATAGTGTAACTTTACATTCCTCTATATTCCTTCTTATTTCCTCACCAAATGTCACATAAAGGAATAAATACTGGGGCCTATCTACTACAACACAATTTATAAATATGCAATGGCTAAAAAAATGATGATTAACTAAAGAAGAACTAATAGTCCGTGGTAAAGACTCCTTTTTATCAAACTATTAACATCCCCCTGGAACTTCGTAAATAGTTCATCTTATCGTAACCTACAAATATTATATTTGCGAATATTCTCGTGATTAGGGCATTTTCAATCTGTAGATCTACAAACTTTGTATATTTAATTAGGTACTAAATATTCATGAATACAAAATCGAAAAATAAAGTATCCTACAAAAATATTGGGCCGTTTGGCCTGTATTGGAAGGCAATTTGGATAGGCTCCAGTCACCTCCTTAAAACTCTTCCTAACATACTAACCCTGTTCTTACATGATAACCCCATCAAATTCTATTCCACCAATAAAAACCTTGGAATAACCGTTGATTAAATCCTTTCCTGGAAAAAACATGTATCCCATATTTTCCATTTTAAAACGACTAAAATACCTCTGCCATCTATTTCCATTTAACATTGCCCTCGAATGTGCCATTAGAGGATCCCAAATGCAGATTGAGGGAACGTTTTTTAATCATTCAGTGCAATTACTAGGATTTGCCGATGACATGGCATCGGTTGGAAGAACACGGGCAGCTATAAAAGATGCTTTCTTGGTGCTAGAACTAGCAGCAATGAGAATTGGCTTAAAGGTCAATGAGAGGAAAACAAAGTTTATGCGGGCCGACCAAAAGGACGGAAGCCACAGAGAGGCAAATGTAGAAATCGGAGGGATGACTTTTGAAGATGTTTCGGAATTTATTTATCTTGGCACGCTAGTTAAGGTAAATATCGATATGAATCCTGAAATACAGAGGCGCATCATGGCCGCAAATAGAGCTTATTTTGAACTCCAGGGACATCTCAAAAGTAGAATGATCTCTCGTAAAACCAAGCTGCTCTTGTACAAAACCCTGATCAGACCAGAACTAACATATGGGTCGGAGTGCTGGACAATGTCAAGAGCCCAAGATACAGCTCTTCTTCGGTTTGAATGTCGTGTGCTAAGAAGATGGAGAATGAGCTGATGGAGCTATATAAAGAAGCCGATGTTGTGAGGCTAGTGAAAATTGGCAGGTTGAGATGGGCAAGACACATTATCCGTATGTCTTAACAACATGTGCTAAGGAAGTTGATGAATGAGCGGATCTTCACCACAAGGCGGGTAGGCAGACCGAGACTCAGATGGGCTGATAGAGTGAAAGCCGACGCCCGAAGTATCCTTGGTGTTCACAACTAGAAGGCAGCAGCATTACTTGGGGAGGACTGGCTGTTGAAATTGGGGGAGGCCTTGACTCTGCAAGAGTTGTAGAGCCATTCATGATGGTGATGATGTTCTATTTCCATTTGAAACCAGTAAAATCCTGATCACTTCCTTAATATATCCTTACTTTGACTATTGCTGTACGGTATATGGGAGCTCTCGATTCGCAATTAAAACGTTTGAAAATTGCCTTGTACGATTCATCTTCGGGATCCCATAGAACGCTTCTGTTTCCCGTTATTATGAAAAGCTAAAATGGCTTTGTCACTTCCTACCGACGTATTTCTTAGCATCTTTCCTCTTCGAAGTCATCCGATCCCATCCGTCCTTCATGATCTCTGAAATCCTTCAATTCAAACCCTCTTTACACACCTGCAAAACCCGTTCCCGGTTACCAGATTCGTATACAAGAATCCACTGATAGATCTTTCATTATTCGATCCACATCCCTCTGGGATTCCCATCATATATCCGTCGCTCCAATACTCTTCCCACCTTGAATTTTGAATGTAAATAATATTGTTTTCTTTCATTTATTCATTGTATAGATCTTTCTGTTTTGTGATCATATTATCTTACGATTCAATCGGAATGCAAATTCATTAGTTTTTAGAATGAGAATTAGAACGAGAATTATCTCAAATAAGATATTTGTAGGATACGAAGAAATGAAGCTATTTACGAAATTTCAGGTGGATGTTAATATTTTCATAAAAATGGGTCTGTAAGACGGACTATGAATGCGCAGAAATCAGAAAGATAAAGCAAGAACACGATACAAAACTGTAGAATAATTTATGAGTTACGACATATTATGATAAAATAAAAGAAAAGAAAGAAAATAATGATCAGAGTAAATCAAATGTATTAAGAACATCAGATATAAAACAAAATAGCAAAAATTTTGTAGTGTATGAATCTCTTCTCTGTCTCTTAGAATCGATGGATTTTGATCAATGAGGTATTAAACAAATGGGTTATTGAAAAAAAAAAAATTAATTTTTGAAATACCCGGCTACAGAAATTGGGAAATTCCATCCACTCTAAGGGAACTCACTTCCATATTGATTGAAAAATTTTGGTAGATTGTTGGGAAAATTGACATCTATGAATACTTGAACAGTGTAGTGATCAATTTCTTTTCACTACAAATTACGGCTCTAAGTATATAGATTTTGTCCCATGTATCGGTGCATGCCAACATCGAAAGGCATCAACTACTAAAATAAGTTCCAATATTCGTAGGTGTCTACTTCCCTTTCAATCAACCAAGATATTTCAGGAGATATGGTAATATATTCCTATTAATAATCAAGACATTTAAAGTATAATACAATTTTTTTTCTCAGTATTTTGAGCTCAAATTATTTCAAAACATTAACCGAATCTAACTGAGTAATTACAGCTGTCAAAGTTAAAAATCGATCATGTCATATACTCAAAAAATCTTTAGTCAGCTTTTAGCGGACTGATTAAACACACTTTATACAATAATTTGACACTCACGGAATCTTACCGAATAATTTGAGACATCAAACTTGAAAATCGAACCAGGCGTTCGTTCAAAACAGCATAACAAAGCATTTTGCCAATTGATGAAATACATTTTATTTAATAATGGGTCAGTATTTTTAGCTCAAATTATTTCGAATCTCTCAGGGGATCTCTCCTGTTTAATAAAGGTGTATTATTGTATTTATATTATTTTCATACATACTTTACATAATATGATAACCTTTTCGGTGAGTTTCGAAGAAGAGAAAGCGACTCTCCAGATGATGGTCGAAAAATACACAATCCACAATGATTTCTCATCTTGTAATGCGAACTTCAGCAGAAGCAGAAGGCGAATTTCAAAGTTTTTCTTCCGTTTTTGGACTCCATAAACGTAGAAGGTAATTACAGTGATTCCTACAAAGCAGACAGCGACTAATACAGTGAGCAAGCAAGAGAAGGCAGTATGGAGGATCTCGCCGGCGTCGCAGAGCTTGTTGTGGACATCGGAGAGCATGGCGACCTTCTGATCTTTGTAAGGCGAATCGGATCTCATCTTGAGTTCGTCCAAGGACTCGCAAGCTGCTTGTAATCTGCAGTTTATGAGGGAGGCCAGAACCGAAAATTGGGACTTTGCCAACCAAATGTTTGTTACGACAATTAAGATATGCAATTTAGAGACCAATTCCGAAGTATCATAGCATCTCCAAAAAACGA